AGTATTAAATTATCATCCTTTCAATTTCAAACTTAGAGATATCATCAACAAGAATTTCCATATTTTTAAAAACGACCCTGAAACATCTTCCATTTTCTCCGATAACCCCTTAGTCTCTTTTCCACACAGCAAATATATCCGTGAAACCCTAGTCCAAAGCTCCCTAGCACAGGCTTCGACGTCACAGAAAGGCACTTTTCCTTGCCTGTCGTCGAAATGTAAAACCTGTGATTTTGTGGATTCTACCACTATTGTTTGGGCACCTAAATCTGAATTTCACATCAAGCACCATTTCACGTGCGCCTCCTCCCATCTCATCTACTGCATCTCTTGCAGCAGATCTGGCATGCTTTACATTGGGGAAACTGGAAGATGTTTAAGGACAAGGTTTGGTGAGCATCCGCGGGCAATGATGCTGACCAACCTATTGCCAGACATTTTAATAATGGCAATCACAGTGTTTCAGATATGGTAATTCGAGCCCTCTGTCCCATTTCTGGAAGCAACGATAGTCACAAACGACATGAAATGCGCCTCATATCCAAACTTGGCACTATTCACCCTTCTTGTATTAATGAACGCTTTTCCTATGTTTAATGCCATCTGTCCTTGCCTGTCTATAGCAGACATTGACAACATTTATCTATTTATTACATTTACCTTATTCCCACTCGTGTTTTGTATTGTTTTGATTATTTTTTTGTAGTAATTATCTTAGCTTCCTGTATATTTTTATATATTTTAATTATATTATATTCTGTAATGCGATTTACATATTTTGTTTACACTTTGTTATGATTAAATCCATCCAATTGGTTTGTTTTTTTTGTCACGTGATGCTTTCATACTCTTAGTATAAAAGCCGTGCATTTTCCCCCGATCCCTGTTACTAACTCTTGATGAAGGGCCTTCGCTCGAATCGTCGAGTTTCTGCTTGTTTTTTTAAGGTAGTAATATAACCACTCAGCACAGCATTTTCACATTGGTACTACCTACACTGGTATGTTTTAACAAAGTTTACCACTACGTTCGGCTGTTCCAAATACACCTTTAAGGTGGCTTCCTACAGTTTTCTAAAATTTTAAGTGTTTTAGTTAACCTTCGTTTTCAACCAAATTTATATTGAACACACTTAAGACAGGGCAATAATTATAATCATTTCCAGGAAAGTTCAGAAGTCTTCTGCTGTCGATCTACGAACAAATAGGAACAGTATTAGTGTTGTCGTTTCATCTTTTGCACTTCGGCAATATCTTTTTTTTCCTGCGGTCAATTTTTCTGAATTTTTTTTTAAAGATTTATGTTTGATAGAGGAATGACATATTAAAATTTGAAGGGATATTTATAAGGCAGGTTTTGAGATATTCATGAATAACGACTACAAAAAATCTTTCTTATAGAATTTCTTGAAATTTTGACATGTTTGGCGAATCGTCATGCTTAGCAAACGTGCAAAGTTTAAAAATTTTCACCGAAGGAAACGCGAGAAAAATAGTCCTAAATTCAGTTGAAGCTGTTGACGTGACAAAATATCGATTCGACATGATCACTATTTGCGCATGCGTATAAATTATAATGCGTGAGGAACACGAAACGCGTACGGTTTATAGTTGGCTTTTTTAGCAATTTTCACTTTGAGTTTTTGGCTTATATGTACCACACAGATATTTTCTACTTATTTGAAATGAAAATAAAAGATATATATGTTCAAAATACGAACAATTGAGAACACAATAACGCTCGGACTTAATCCAATGTTTCTTAAATTTAGTTTTGTTGTGAAAATCGGTGTGTAAACTTTTCAAAACATTCAAGTAGAGTTTGACTTTTCATATAAAACAACTCGTAACTGTCTGCATTATAGTTTTATTGGATTCAGCAGATAAAAAACTACATGTGAACTGAGTTGAATGAAAGGATTTACGTAAGTTTCAGTGACAGTTCAAGCGTGCCTTGAAGACAGTATAAATTATCATTTCAGTCCGTGACACTGTTGTTGAACATTGTGAGCATTATGAAATACAGTACTGAAGTACTAAATATATATAAAAAAAAACTGAAGGTAGGTAAAACCTAGCTAACAACATACGTACTGTTTGAATGTTGAAAAGTTTAGGATTATAATAAAAAACTGGCGTTTTCTTTGTAGATAAAAATACAAAAACAACTTCCCGCAGCTTGTTTCAAGATTTTTACCGGGCCACGAAGATTCTACGCGCGAGTCGCGAGGATGACGTCTGAGCTATATAAATGTTTTAAACTGGACTATAACTGTAGGGAGCCACCTTAAGATACAAGGTCCGATCATATCATGTTCTTCGAAGCATCTGCTCAAAACAGTCCAACATAAATATCGCCACTAATCTTCTTCGTATGAAAATATAAGTTTTCCTTTCAATTGCTTTGCTTTAAAACAATCATTAGGTTCTTGAAGAGTTAGCCTAGAACTTCCAACAAAAAAACCCTGATGTTTTCAAAAACCAGTGAATCACAATGCTGTAAACTTCAACATCCTTAGAAATATTAAAAATGCTAGATGCGCGACCAGGATTCATAATAAAGTTTCTGAAACGTTCTCTGATCGTAAATTTTTATTTAAAACACGAGCTTTCGACTGCGAATCTGCAGTCTTCGACAGGTAAAGTGATATTAAATCATGGTTTCGCTTTGTAGATAATGTTTTTTCGATCATCAAAAAACATGCTATCACCAATTTCCACAATTTACTGAATTCCATTGACCCACACATAAACTTCACTATTGAACGAGAACAAAACGGACAACTTTCATTCTTAGACACAATGGTAACTCCAGAGGAGGTCGGACAAGCAATTAGCGAGTTGTCACGTGAGCTCTCGACCAATGAGATCGCTCTATTTTCCATCGTGTTTTCTGCAGAATTTGGGCAGAAAAATTTGTATTCGACGGAAAATAAATCGAGAAAAAACATTAATATTAAAATTTTCTTGCAAAATTTCAAGTGTAATAGTACTACTGCTAAAGATCTGGTGATATCTGCAAAAATCTCTAAGGTAAACGTTGTTTTCAATGTTATTTTGATGTTTGAAGTTAGACGACTCCCCGCGACGTGTTGACTCAAGTCTAAATATGTTTACAATGTTTAAAATGAAATATCTAGAATTCTCATGGTTCGATTTTCCTCATTTTTGGCAGCCATCAAGAAAAATATATAAGCTTTAAATCTGCTGGAATGATCCCGGTGATCCCCCGGCAGTTTTCGAGATATTGGCCATTGAAGCGACTATTGTCAACTCGACGCTCGCTAAAATGGCATCTAATACCTTGGAAAGAATTTGCGCCATCAAAGATTATATTTTCAATGAATTTTTGTTAAAGTGTTAAAATATTATTTAGAAGACTTAGGAGTTGTTTCAATATTTTTGTAGAATTTATATCTGTGCGATTTTCAAAGTTTTTTCTGTCTTTGGCTGTCGCGACTGGATCGTGTACATATTCCCATACGAGCTGATCGCCTGATCCTGGGTTTTTTGTTGCAAATCGAGCTACGGAATCCTCATCATGGACAACTCAGTGTTATAACAGCCCATTTCAAACCAGCAGAGAGATCCACTTGTTTTAAAACAATAAAACAAGTTTTTATTGTATTTTTATTATATTGTGGTCAATTTATTGAAATTTAATAAATATTATGCACGACTCAATTCCAGGAGTAACCATCACCCCCCCCCCCCGGAACACACCTGGGCGTTTGATTTGACTGGTTACGATAGTGCACAGTTAATAGAAGAAGTGTGCCGGGACACAACTAGGAGTAGGAGACTAATGCACGGCCCTTGGGCAAGCTGAGAGTGGAAAATGCCCCACCCCTGGGACGATGAATGCATATCATAGGCATATTCATTTAATAACATTATACTATTAAGCTGCTATGGAATATTATAGTTTTGCAAAGGTGAAACCATTTGTCAAATCCCCGGGCCCAATACCCGGCCCCTGTACACGTACCCGGGCCCAATACCCGGCCCCTGTACATGTATATGACAGGTAAATTCCCGACCCCTGTGAACTGTCTATTAGGCAAATTCCCAGGGGTGTCCCGGGGGGATGGTTACTCCAGGAATTGACCTGTGCAATTATATAAATAGACATCTTCTTGTTTTATTGTTGCATTAATTTTAATCTGAAAAAATTACAAACAAAGAAGGTCAAGTGCATGGATAAATTACTTATTTACTTACTAAAGCACATTTTTACAGTTATGTACTTATTTTGCATGAGTGTACATGACAGATTGTTTTAATTAGATACAGAAAGTTATCATTTATAACCCATGGTTTGTTTAAAAAATGCTGGAAAAAATCTAAAAAGTTAGCCAATTGAAATAAATGCACTGTCTTCAATAACTTGCTAAACATAGTTGCTATTATTTATATAAAAACATCTGTCAACATACACTCATGCTTGTCCTACCACTTAAGTCTCCCATGCACTAACCATGTCTCTGCAAAATGTTTTGGATAAAATCCTATTTTAAAAAAGTCAATCCTATACTTGATATGCTGAACATATTAGACATCCACGACATCCCTTGCAGCAATTAATGGGTGTGGATACAGTGCATAGTTCAGAAGCAATATACTGTATAACCAACATGGGGCCATCCAGTTCCATAGTCTAGATCAATTGCTATTGCACTTGGGTCCCTTGGATTCAATGGCTCTGGCCGTATTCTTACATTCACTGGTTTATCTTGTTCATGAAGAGTGAGGTATGCCTTTTCCCACAGATGCACTTGAATGGTACAGCCTGGTTGATTTCTTCCTCATC